GTGAAGAAGGAGTAACTGAAAGTGTGCGATGTGTAGGGAAAACGCAGGGCACACGGTGAGAAAGACCAGCGTGGAGCTGAGTGACCTGCTTATGCCCAACTGGGAACAGTAGTGGTGACACTGTTCGGAGGCAAAGACTCTCCAACACCTTGTTTTCCTTCATCCAGGTGTGTGCTCTCTTCTAAGTGGTCTCCAGCAAGCAGGAACCGAGGTGCAAGTCCGTCCCAGATCACAGCCACCTTGTGCCGGACAGAATGCAACCCTGCCTGCCCCTGCATGGAGCGCCTCGAGGCCTCCGCTTTCTTACTGTCCCTCCACTTGACCAAGCACGGCGTCCCTCTCCAGGGTCGGGTCTCTCCTGACAGCATGGCGTAGCCTGGGAGACAATGTCTTGCCCTCCCTGCCTCCACGGACCGTGCTGGCAGTCCTTCCAAAGCCGTTCTTCTGGCCGTCCTGGGCTCAGCTGGCCCCACAATTCACATGCACCGGTGTTTCTTCTGTCTTCCTTCATCACTGTCTTAACTTTCACAAGCATGTGTATTCAATGGGCGATCGCGGAAACCTCTAATGACATGTCACTTTCAGGAGCTGGTCAGCATAGCGTAACCGCTACGGAGCAAAGCCAATTCATAGTGAGCCAAATTACCGGAACTATATTTGGTTTAGATGGAAACGTAACTCTTGAATCCATGTTACGGTCAAGAAAACAATATAGGTAACAACAGCTAACAAGCCGTAGAAGCACCTGAATGACTTTCGAACAGACCAGGCACCAATGGTCTGTGTCTCGGTCACACCCCGTGGTGGCTTACAATGTGCTTTAAGACGGGCACCCATCTACACCCAGTCTTTCAGGTGGCAGCAGGGTCACCGGTGGTGGTTAGAGGGCAGCCTCAGGCTGAGTCGGCATGCAGACTGGACCAGCGTAGGGCCCAGTGTGCAAGGACAGGGTGACAGAGGACAGGGTCCAGAAGGAGAGGAGAGCACGTGATGCTCAGGGGTAGATACTTTCTGGAATCTGAAATAGATTTGATCGGAGAAAAGCTGAGAGGAGGCACCGAAGGCAGAGAGCCTCCCACGAGCCACACACAGGATGGCGTGCCTCAGGGCAATCCGTTCCTTCTGGCCTGTGCCGCTGCGGCCTTTCAGACGAAGCTGAAAAGAAGGCACATGTGCCAGTGGTTCTGGAAAGCGGCTGGGTATGGGAACCAGGGGCATGGGAACCACACATCCCTGTGAGCTGCTTGGACAGACAGCTATCAGGAAGGGCTTTGAATGTGGAGCCCACGGTGAGGTGACCATGCTGGTGGTGGTGTGGCATGAGGATCGGAGCCCGACTCACTCACCGCCACCCTACGCGCTGGAGCAGAACAGCCCTGCTGCGGCG